AACTTTGCGATTGCACTTTTAATTTTCTTTTTTTTCTTTTTTTTTTTTTTAAATATTTTTATTTATTTCTAGGAGAGAGAGAGAGAGACAGCGTGAGCAGGGGAGGGTCAGAGAGAGAGGGAGTCACAGACTGAAACAGGCTCCAGGCTCTGAGCCGGCAGTCAGCACAGAGCCCGACGTGGGGCTCGAACCCACGAACCGTGAGATCATGACCCAAGCGAAAGTCGGACGCTTAACCGACTAAGCCACCCAGGCACCCCTAATTTTCTTTAATCTTTAATGCATTTATCTTTTTTATTTCATTCTGTTGTATCTTCATCTAAACTTGTCCACTACTTATAGATTTTGTTCCTATTTCATAGAAGCTTATCTTCTAAAACGTTTTCAGAATGCAACTTCTTGGGCAGATAATGCTCACAGAGATAACTTTTAGTTTTATAGGTGATATCACATATTTTAAAATTATTTCTTCAGTGGTTTTAGTAGTTAAACTTATGTTCATAGTTTCAGCATTGATTATTAAGAGCAATTTGAGTTCATAGGAAGCTATGTGGAAGATACAGAATAATAGAAAAAAATAAAATTATGAAATGTATTATCTCAACACCCCCAGATAGCCATTATTAACATCTTTGTGTGTGCTTGTAGATTGTTCTTTGCAATATGTGTTTTCTACCATCGGACCCAAGTACTTCTTATGCTCCACATTGTATTTTGAACACTTCCTCGTTGTTATTTACTATTTGAATATACTTTCGTGGATATAAGATATTACGTTATACTTCCTACATGTATATATTGTTCTATAACCTTCCTAATTTGTTACTATGCAAAATTTCAAACATACAAAACTAGAAGAAAATAGTATCTACCGAACTCATATGTTTATTACACAGGTCCAATATTCTTCTCATGCCATGCTCTCTTCATTCTCATTCTTCCCCTGCTGCCAGCAAATCTTTCACAGTGCTGTGCAATTTGGTCACAGGATGCCTGTGATTCATCTATGAGCTACATTAATCAATGGAGTCAGATACTAGCATGAGAATAGACAATAAAACAGTGGAACAATAACACTCTCCAGGTTAAAAAAAGATATATAAGCTCTATGTGCTTATTATATAATAAAAGTGACATATCAAAACATAAGGAAAATGATAAACTATTTAATATACCAATTAGAACAAAAAAGAAAGGAATTTACAGATTAAACTACATAGAAATATAGAACTTCTCTATGCCAAAATATATATTGAGCAAACTGAACAACTTACAACATTAGTACATTTGGTGCCATATCTTATGTGCAAAGTTTTACAGCACTTAATATGCAGCACTTGATATGTAAAGAGCTATTATAAGTCAATAAGAATAAATGAGTTTCATAATAAAACTCTGCATTTTTATTTTGTTAAAATAAATAGCTTTTCTAGGGGTGCCTGGTTGGTTCAGTCAGTTGAGTGTCTGACTTCAGCTCAGGTCATGATCTCATGGCTAGTGAGTTCAAGCCCCACATTGGGTTCTTTGCTGACAGCTGGCGAGCCTGGAGCCTGCTTCAGATTCTGTGTCTCACTCTCTCTCTCTGCCCTCCCCCAATTCACACTCTGTATGTCTGTCTGTCTCTCTCTCAAAATATAAATAAACATTAAAAAATAAATAAAATAAAATAATAAAATAAATAGTGTTTCTAGTGATTTTCTTTTTACCTTTTCAGTTCAGAAAGTATTTTTACTATTAACATCAATTACTAGCAATACTCTGGACAAAGAGGTTATCTCAATTACCATTTGTGGTTGAAATGGAAGTTGATAAAATATTTCTGAAACAAAGTTGTTGCATATTGAAATTTTAAATGTGGCACCCATTGGTTTAATAATCTTACTTTTAGAAATTTATTTTTTCTTTCCATCCTTTCTTCTTTCCTTCAATTCTTCTAGTATTTTTCCTTTACCTATCCCATTCTTTTTGTTTGTTCCTTTCTCTCCTCATCTTCTTTCTCTCATTAATTTGCTTAGCCACTATTATAGCTAATACATTTCCTTTATCATCCTTGTTCTTCCTCACAACAGCCCTGTAAGGTGGACACTGATGAAACCCAACATGAGAGATTAGTTGGAACTAATTTGGTGGCTTCATGAAGAGAACTGCTAAAAAAATCATGCTATACACTCACACTGAGCATAGGATTGATTGAACTAAAGCAGCATAACCAAGGCCATTCAAGGAGAGGCTGAACTGAAAATACATAATCAGCTTCAGAATAAAATGAACTAGTGCATTAGCTGATAAGAATCTGTCTCTTGGAGCCTCATTTGATACCCATTCAAACTCTGTTCCTAACCAAGCAGCTCTTACATCCCTTGTGGTCAGTCTAGGACTTGGTGATCCCTATTGTGAAGTAGTTTTTTCCAGGACTCAGGTGGACATAGTGCATCAGATATTCAGATACTGCAGATATCATCTCTAATCATGCAATCTGAAAACCATATATACAAATTATGTCATTGGATTAGCAGATACTATTTGACATATGACAGTAAGTTGAGTAACTCATTCAATATTGCATAGATAGAAAGTTATAAAGCAAGATTTCAACTTGGATCTATATCAGAATTCTTTTTCTTAAGTTATTTTTCAACTTTATTTATTTATTTTGAGAGAGAGAGAGAGAGAGAGAAAGGAAGGGAGAGAGAAGAAGAGGGAGAATCCCAAGCAAGCTCCTCACCAGCAGTGCGGAGCCTAACATGAGGCTCGAACTCACAAACCGTGAGACCGTCATCTGAGCCAAAACCAAGAATCAGATGCTTAACCAACTGAGCTATCCAGGTGCCCCTAGACTGCCAGCTCTTAGCCAGTATTCTATACTATATCATTCATCAACACACTTATATAGTTACTGAATTCTTATTATGATCTAGATGTTGGAGAGGTTTTCCTTAAAAAATTTATGCCATTTTAAGAATGAACTTCTGCTCCTTCCAGGATTTCAACAGATCAAGAAAATCAGTAAGAGAAGGGCCTCTAAATTCCCATCTATCCTAGTGCTACAAATGTCCTCATTGTCCAAGATCAAGCAGATTCTCTAGCCAGACTCTCTGTTGTTCAACACCACAAAGCCAGTGTCTCATTGTATAATACAAACATTTAATCTGTGTAAAGGCAAATGCACTGTATTTAAAAGAAAAACATTTGAATTTTAAAAACTACAGGGCAGGGCGCCTGGGTGGCTCAGTCTGTTGAGCATCAGACTTCGGCTTAGGTCATGATCTTGTGGTTTGTGGGTTTGAGCCTGGCATCAGGGTCTGTGCTGACAGCTCAGAGCCTGGACCTTGCTTTGGATTCTGTGTCTCATTCTTTCTCTGCACCTCCCCCAAATATAAATAAATATCAAAAATTTTTAAAGTAAATAAATAACCCCAAGGCCTACTTTATCCCACTCAGTCAATAACTACTAAGTGAAGACCTACCAGTTGTCAAGGCTCTAATGTAGCTTTTCACAAGGGTCTCAGATCCACTAAGAGCTCTTTACAAGCTCTTAGAAGGCACTCTTATAGTAAGCATTCTCATTTAAAGGGGTGATTTTCCCATTCCTCAAAGTAATTAAGTTAGATGGCCAACTGGAAGGAATGTAGTACATGATATTTGTCCTTCACATAGGTGACTGAGCCAGATGAAAGTGTGTGTGTGTACGAGTGTGTGTATTCTTGCTGACTAAAAATATAGAAATGGCCATTTTGGAGCCATCTTGAATAAGCACTCAAAAAGTAAAATGCCATAATGTCATCAAGGTTTTCTTCCTTTGCTTATCTGAGCATTATCAGTTGATTTACTTAATAAAACTGTGGACCAACAAAGACTAGAAATACAACTTCCAATAGGATGCTCTCATGCTGTGATTGTTGAAGTGATAAGTAATTTGCTTTTAATGCCAGCACATACCACCTAGCACCATATTCAACTGAAGGTGGAAAAGCACTCATTTTTTATCCACTTGCTCAACTGACACTTAGTGTAATCTATCTATTGTCACTGAGCTTAATACAAGGAACATTTTATGGATCTTGCTTTCAAATTTACAGCAAGCACTTAAATTTTTAATTTCTTTTTATTTATATTTTTATTCCTTAAAAGAATTTAATTTCAAATGGAAAATCTATTTAGGTGATAAGAACACAGTAGGTACTAGCAAAAGCAATCTACTGAAAGGATTTTTTTAATTTATAGTTTTCAATTATAGCCATATTTTGTATTCTGTATTATTTCTAAATGCGAGAAAAATATCAATGTGAATGACACACATTAATTAGTAACTAACTATAATACTAGAAATAAAGTTATCAATGAAATTATTAAGTAAATATGCATGAATTTATACATAAAACAAAGCTTGTATTACTAACAGATTCTTAAAAAATAATTATGAGCATTATAAACTATCCTCAATATACTAAGGGAAATGATGACTGGATCCATAGATAGATGAGAGAGAGAGAGAAGAAAGAAAGAAAGAAAGAAAGAAAGAAAGAAAGAAAGAAAGAAACTAAGAAAGAAAGAGAGGAAGATAGTCCTTCAGAAATCTATCTTGAATTTTATTTACCTCTTCCTTTTTTAGTAATTTTCTAAAAGTTCTTATTTATTTTTTGAGATAGAGAGTATGTGTGAGTGGGGAAAGGGCAGAGAGAGAGGGAGGGAGAGAATCCTAAGCAGGCTGTATGCTGTCAGCATGGAGACTGACATGGGGCTTAATCCCATGAACAGTGAGATCATTACCTCTACCTTGAATTTTAACATAACACTTTGCACTGTGTATAAATATGTGCACTCTGTTAAGGGGATTATATACTAGAGTGTCACATGTTAGAATCTGTTCTGGTAGACCATCTATTTACAATGACCACTCCATGGAATTATCATTTGTTAATTCATAAAGATGAATTTTTTTAATTCAAAATTCACCAAAGATGAGAGAAATTTATTTTAAGAGTAAAAAGTTCCTTTATTTTCTTTTTTCTATTTTTCTGTTAAGTACTTAACTACACATGTACATGCAAAAAAAAAATCTAAATTAAATAGGTCATCTCAATACCAATGCAAACATGATATTTACTTCAGGGATAAGATAGTGGCAAATTCTTGAGTGTTGGATTGCACTGAGGCCATGAATATTCAACAAGCAGAGAACTCTTGAAAAAACATGGTAGTCACTCTCTACCCAACACACATACACACACACACACGGGCACACACGTACACACACATACATAAGCATGCAAACACACACATCACATTACAAAAGTGTTAGAATGACTCATATGTTAAATCTATTACTTAATGCTTAATGGTCAGTAAGGTAAGTTCAATTGCAAGGAAAACATATCTAAAGCAACGAGAGCAAAAGACTTCATTTAAAAATACTAAACAAACAACTCATATGTTACAATAATGTAGTAAGAGACTCCTTGGATGTGAACCTGGGCATCTTTCAGCGGCCAGAAAATATTACTTTTCTTAATTATGCCATTTCTTCCATTGGGACCACCAATTCCTAAAGGAAACACAAGAATGAAAAGTAAGGGTTTTTTTGTTTGTTTTTGCCGGTGTATGTATTGTTTATTCAATTCACTGACATACAGTACAATAAATATAAAGTCAAGTGAAACTTGACCCATCACTTTCATCTTTCATCCAAGAAAAACTTACTGAGCACTTAGTAGTTCAAAGTACAGTATTACAGACTGAGGAGGGCAAAAGTAAATAAACGAAGCAATGATTCCTGCCCCCATAAAGCTTACATTTTAGTGAAGGGAGTATAAATAAAAGTAGCAGCCTTAAAAAATCAGTAGTCAAAAATAAAATCAGTAGGCATTTTTATTAATTCAGTCCAGTGAATGACAGCTGAGTAAAAAAATTACCATGTCATTTGTTCAACTATATTTATCAACTTGAAATAAGGATCTAATGAAATGTAGCTCAAGATGCAGAAATCTAATTGTATACATCTATTCTTCCTCAGTACATTTTGTGCTGATACAAGTCTTTCATAGAATTTATTTTATTGCACTGCCACCCCCTTCCTTCTGGCTTTCTTTATACTATAACTGACAACACCATAAAGACCTGGCCTTTATCACCACCACACCCTCATTGTTTTTCACACCATCCTTTCAACAGCAAATATTCATTAAGCTCCTGAGTTGTGACCAGCATTCTTCCAAGTTCTGTTAATAGGAAGGTACAATAGAAAAATTCTGTCCACAGGTAAGCCATGTTGTAATGGGGAAGGCTTAAGTATGCAATTAGAATACAAAATTGTTAAGTGAAAACAGAGGTAAGAGCCTGGTGATCAAAACTGTAACAAATTACAATTGCAGGAATGGAGGTGAGTAAGGAAAAAGATCAATGATAGTGACATTCAAGTCTCATCTTTTTTTTTTTTAAGTTTATTTATTTTTGAGACAGAGACAGAGCTTGAGCGTGGGATAGGGGCAGAGAGAGAGAGGGAGACGCAGAATCCGAAGCAGGCTCCAGGCTCTGAGCTGTCAGCACAGAGCCCGACACGGGGCTTGAAGTCACGGACCACAAGATCATGACCTGAGCTGAAGCGGATGGCTTAACCAATTGAGCCACCCAGGTGCCACTCAAGTCTCATCTTTTTTTTCTTTTTTAATATTTTATTTATTTTTGAGAGAGAGATAGAGACAGCATGAGCAGGGGAGGATCAGAGAGAGAGGGAGGCACAGAATCCGAAACAGCCTCCAGGCTCTGAGCTGTCAGCACAGAGCCCGATGCGGGGCTCGAACCCACGAAATGCGAGATCATGACCCGAGCCGAAGTCGGACGCTCAACCGACTGAACTACCCAGGCGCCCCTTGAGTCTCATCTTAAAAGGTGAATTGAACTGCCTGAGGTGTGCCTGTGTGTTAATTTAAGCTATTAAAAGGCGTTTGGAATATTTATTCAATAATATTCAAGATATTAATGTATATTGATCTGCCTTCAAAAATAGCCAAATAGGAAGAAAAATATAGACAGTATATGCATGTGCTAATCTCAGCCAATAGAGGGAACACCTTGTATAATCCTTAATGCAGTCATCTTGTGTAAGATTGAAGATACCATCATAGACAATGATTAAAGCCCAGAATTGAAAATCACCAGGAGCAGATGTGTTCACGTTTCCTAATTATAAGAATTAATTTTGATGCTTCTATAACATTGAGAGAAGTGTTTTTTCAATATCTGTTCACCCTTCGTTAAAGGCGCAGAGAAAGATCAGGGTGAACAATCCACTGTATTTATTGCTGTATGGTGAGGGAAGATTCTTCATGATGCAAGACTTTCTATGACCCGTCTACCCTCTGATGGTTCATTGTCCATTTGTGACCCTAAATCCCACTCCAGATCTTCAGTTGAAAGCAAGGAAAAAGAAAAGGGCTAATATAAGAACCGAAAAGTTCTTGTGCTACTTGCTCCCTTTAAAAAGAGCTGAGGTATATGCAGGGAGCCCATATCTGAGCCAGACATTTTGGGATTGGTTGTTGTTATCTTAGAACACAAAATATATGCTCTGCAAACCTACTCATTGAAGGGACTTTATTCTTATTATTTACTTTTTTCCATTTTTTTCTTGAAGTTCCCTCTAAAGAAATGAGATTTTTCAGCTACATAGAAAGGAAAGGGGATTTATTTGGCGTTGGTTATATCATGGTCTAGCCATTTCTCTTACTCCCTCCAAATGAAAGAGTACCACTTTTAAAAGAAAATGAAAAATGGTCGTAGCACTCTGCAAATCCTGCGGTAGTCAAGTATTTTTTTCTAAACTAATGACTGGTAAGATTCTGCACTCTCTGAAAAACATAGTCGAGATGATCATGACTTCTAGTTGCTGTTACAAATACCGGTTATTGACTTACAATAAAGTGCGTTATTATAAGGCGGTAGGTTGAAAGGAAGTTGGACTGGTCTGACCATGACTTGCATGCCACCCTGAAGCTTTAAGAAAACAAGAACAAAATACCACTTGGTGGCTCCTACTTAGTTGATACACTCACATTCAGCGGAGTTAAATGTTTACTCAGTAGGAAAAAAAATACCTTTTTATTTTAATGGCTTCTTTTCATTTCTCCTGATTTAATGTCAAAGGAGCCTTTGTACCGTCCGTTGTACCATCTGATGTACCATCCATTTCACCTATGTGCTTCTGAATTGCTGTGGCCACTTCTGTGGGGATAATCCTGAGGCCACTGATATCACCAAACACCTGAGAAGTGGTGATGAAATGGCACATATTAACCTAATATGTTTCAAAGAGATATTTAGGTGGAACAAACAAATTCTGTGACTTCCTTATTCCCCCCTTCACCCCAAAAATTACAGCCTGGAAATCATCTGAAATGCCGTATTGTTAACCTAACTCCACAGTCTGAATAGAAGCTTACAATTAAGGTTTTATGGTTCAGTTTCACTTCTGACTTCAGCAATAATTGTATAACACACCAAAAACATATATTAAAATTTGTATGTCATTTTCTAATATAGAGTGTGAGGTCATAATTAGCAATTAAGACATTTGGAAAGTAGAATATCCTAATTCTATGGAAGCCAAAAATACCAAAATCAAATACAAGATGGGGATTTTCTTTCTTTCTTTTTCTTTCTTTCTTTCTTTCCTTCCTTCCTTCTTTCTTTCTTTCTTTCCTTCCTTCCTTCCTTCCTTCTTTCTTCCCTTCCTTCTTTCTTTCTTTCTTTCTTTCTTTCTTTCTTTCTTTCTTTCTTTCTTTCTTTCTTTCTTTCTTTCTTTGCCTTTAATAACTTTTGTGTGATGAAATGGATTGAAAACAAAACTGTTTTTGAATGGGGGGAAACACATGGCAGCATTCCTTTCAATAGCAACTCATTGTCCCTAGAAAAACTTTCTGTGTATACAAGACAAATTATCTTTGAGCACAACTAGCAACCATGCCAACATCTTGTTTCACCTGTCATACACAGTTTGGGTTTATTCTTGGGCTGTTTATAATAATCATCAATTTCACTGACTTCATATGTCCCTCCTACATCCTGAAGGTATCTAGCATTCACAGGCATTGTGCTGAGTGACCATTTTCCCTTAGAACTAATGGCCCCTTGAACCAAAGGCTCTCCTGGTTAGAAAGGCAGGGAGCTACAAATGAATGCATATCTCTAGATAGCAAAGACCACATTTGGTTATTTGACAAGCTCTTCTGGTTACAGAAGCCATGTTTCTCTGTTAACTAGAACTGCTAGTTATTACTAGTAACTACTCTAGAACTACTACTGCAACTCATAAATCATAATAGCAAGCCAATCAGAAAACCGTTTTCCAGAAATGGGTCAACAGATGGGTACAGGGGGGAAATCAGAGGAAAAAAAAAATCTCCTTCCAAGATAATAATTATTAAGAATGATCAAAGCTTAGAGCTATACCACAATACAAAAAGGATACTATTAAGAATGAAGCCAACGGGGGCGCCTGGGTGGCTCAATCAATTGAGCATCTGACTTCGGATCAGGTCATGATCTCACGGTTCGTGGGTTCGAGCCCCGCATTGGGCTCTGTGCTGACAGCTAGCTCAGAGCCTGGAAACTGTCTTTGGATTCTGTGGCTCCCTCTCTCTCTGACCCTTCCCTGCTCACGCTGTGTCTATCTCTCTCTTTCAAAAAATAAAATAAAACATTAAAAAAAAAAGAATGAAGCCAACATAGGTGGAAATAAAGGAGAGAGAGAAAGCGAGGGAAGAAAGAGAGAGAGCTGACAACATTCATTGAACTCCCGAGGTCAGTCATTCCATTAGAGTATCTATTGTAATTCCCACGTATGTGAGTTAATAAGTACCTTTTGTGATTAAGCAGAAGTAGTTAGGTGTTTGACATTCACAGCTAAATAGGTTAAGAAAAATAAATCTCTTTGGACACCTTGATTTTTCCTGTCTTGTTGAATCTCTCTTACAGACTTTGTTACAGTCCGCTTCCCCCATGGTATCTAAACTTTTGTGGTCCTTTTGCATTATTTGCTTCTCTGTCACTCTTCTTAACTGTCTCTTATATGTATTCTTTATTACACATCTTTCTTTCTACTTCTTTGTATATAATCTTTAGAAACCTGAATTTCTTGGGAAATATTTGGTGCCACAATAGCACCTTTGAGATGGCTGTTTTCTTTCTTTTCAAGACTATCTAAATATACAAGTCAGAATCACCATTAGAGAGCTTTGTCCATGTTTCTTGAGATATCTTTCCTTTTAGATCTTCATATGGTAGATGACACCAATTGTCAGAACTCCTGAAATGCATATTCTTAGTATCAAACTGGGTGGCATTCAACCTCCACCAGAATTAGGAATAACAAAAAGACAAGATCCCTTTCTCCAGAGTTTCCTGTCATTCACAATCTTTCTTTGTGGTTGAGGATTAGATTCAGAGAAACAAACTCGATCATCATATTGTCTTCTAAGAAATGAATTATTGGGATATCTCTGTACTCAACCATATTCCTATGGCTCCATCCATTGAAATTTCTTAAAGAGTCCAGAGTCTGTGGGTAAGAAGGGACCTGTGTGTAGGATTGGTTTTGTTGGCTGGAGATTTGAGGAACTTCTCCAGTTATCATCTGGACTAATTACCTGGAAGTATCTCTCATTGACCCAAAGCAAGTAGCTTTCTGGCTCATTTTGATCCTTCTCATGTGCTCCTACAATTTTAATAGTTCCCTCTGTACTCATTATGGAAGTATCCAAATTTACTTCTTTAAATGAGTTGTATGTGTTGTGTGAATATACATCAATGCTTCGGTCTGAGAGGTTTGGGGAAAAGGGAATAAGAAGATAATTAGCCTTGAATATATTGCTAAAGATACTTGTTTGTTGTCACTTCTGAGTCAACTGGTGTGTACGACAGTTCTTTCCAGTTACTGCAAATGTGACTTTAGAGTGGTTTTAGGATTTTTAATTTTTATCCATCTGTATGGAGTCATTTATTTCAAGTGTTTGTTCTAGAAAAATAAGCTAATAATATAATTATACTTATTTTATTTTATGGGCTTCATTGAATACCGGGAAGAAACATTGCTAGAAAATAGACACTACAAACAAGTACGATCGCATAACAAACCAGCATTGAAATGTGCCATGCTTTGAAAATACATGCTAGCCATGTATCATTTTTCAAGGTAGAACGTGACCCTGAGCTGTAATAGCGATGTGATCTCTTATTTCAAACATAATGCTATCTAGGTTAAAGAAAGTGAAAATTTGACTATAGCCAAAAAAATTACTAAAATGTTGGGCAAACTTCATTCAATGTAATTGTAGCTATGTATTTGTTCATCTTTTCCGGAGGGCTATTGGCATCTATCTGTCATCTACCTATTTATCTATCATCTATCTATCATCTATCATCTATCTACCTGTCATCTATCTACTAATCTACCTATCTATCTATCTATCTATCAATCATCTATCTATCATCTATCTATCTATCTAAATCCATAGCAAATATACACATAAATGTCTATCCTTTTAAACTGTCATATTTTTGACCTAGTAGTTCCACTGTAAGAATATAACTTCAAGCGATAATCCACAAGGTCAATGGAAATGGCTGAAAAGGGAACTCCAAATGCAGCCCTTGTATAAAATACAACAACAACAACTACAACAACAACAAAGAACAAAAATTCTCACAATCAACTATTTTGGATAGAACAATTTCTGGTGAATGATGTGGCTGAGGTTGACACCCTTAAGGACTTAACTAGCCATTCAGGCTCCCACCTGAGTGTTGGAAACTCAGGATGTGAGCAAGTGGAGTTCAAGCATGGGTATCTCGGTGCCATTGCTAGACAGTGTGGCTGGCAAAGGGTTTCCGCAGAGACAGACGAGGATCTTTTAGGCCTCATGGGGCTAGTGCTCAACAGTGAGGCCTGTGCTGAGCAGAGAATGGCACATGTGAGTTCCTTCTGTCTTGTGTCTGAAACATGGCTGGCCCTTTTTTGTATAAAGAAGTCCCTGGAATTCTTAAAAATTGTGTGGGTAAACCAGGCCAACAGAAAGACATAGTGTATTACCTGCTAATAAGGGTAGGTATATCTTCAAGTGTCTAACTGGACAAATGAAGGCATGTTTATTGACGATTTAGCTGGTGGAATGGGTCATACCTTGCTGCCAAAAACACACTGATAAAGCTTCAGTGAGCAGCCATCATAAATATAGTCAGAAAGAACGGGGCGCATGGATGGCTCAGTCGGTTAAGAGTCGGACTTCGGCTCAGGTCATGATCTCACGGTTCATGGGTTCAAGCCCCACGTCGGTCTCTGTGCTGACAGCTAGCTCGGAGCCTGGAGCCTGCTTCAGATTCTGTGTCTCCCTCTCCCTCTGGCCCTCCCCTGCTCACGCTGTCTCTCTCTCTCTCTCAGAAATAAATAAAACATTAAAAAAAAAAAAAGAAAGAAAGACGAAGAGGAGGAATAATAACCTAGATACAACATTCCAGATAAAGTTTGATTTAATTTGCCTCCTTAACACAGGACACATATATGCATAGCACTAATTCACTGACTGAAGCAACACGGCAATATTTGGAGGCCTCGTTAAACCCATTATGGTTCTGTATTGAAATAAAAAATTTTCTCAGCAGAATTCAAATTGCTATACTTGAAGAACAGCAGTCTGAACTAGGGGTAAAGGGCCTATTAAAATCTATTACAACTGTAGACTTCAAAAATAAATAATACGACACTCTCTAAACGTAATAGGGGGAGTCAACATTGCTGTAGAGAAAGGATGTTTTGCATTTTGAAGAAACAGAACATCGATGTAAATTTCACAAGCAGTTTACTACAGGGGGGATTTATTCTCAGGGATTTAGCGATGATGGGGTGCTGGGAGTGTGACCCTGATGATCACCACAGCTGCGAAAATTATAAGCCAAAACACACACTCCTTTCATTTTTGCAAAAGTACACTATAATCGGTTGTAAAATATTCAGTGTTCTTAAGATTAAATATCTGAATAGAGCTTCTGAAGAAGCAGGTGTCACCTTAAATCTAAAGTCTAGTTTGTTTACTGGCTGTATTTTATATCCTTTAGAAAATGACACCAAATGGCAATAAAATCATTGTAAGTATTCTACAGGGGAATATAAATGCCCTTGGTTACAGTGTACATACCTTTATACATAATTCCAGTTTATTTTCCCCGGAATTATGTTAAATATGTAAAAAGCCTTTTCTTATAAAGGTA